TGTTGGAAACTTGTGATGTGTGTGGAAGGCTGTTTGTCCCAGCCGATGGTGGCCTTCCTGGCATGCGGTGGGGTCAGGGGTGTTGGATGACCTACCCAAGCCATCTTCCTTGGCACAGCCAGCATAGCCCCCTTCTCAGTACTGGGGCCTGAGCCCTAGGTTCTGTGCACAGTGGGCAGGTGCCCTACGCACGAGAGACCCGGTGCCAGAAGAACATACTTGATAAAAGCGCACCTGATGTGGTACACACCCCACCAGCTTTCTAGTAGCATTCTGCTGCAACACTCAGGGTCAGGCAGAACGCAGGCAAGGGCCCAGCTCAGCACAGAGCAGGGGCCTAGCGCCCGCAGCTCTGGGCAACCCCAGCTCTGCAAACCACGTCCTCACTCAGTGTCCCCTTCTTGGTCACCCTCTCCAACCATGGAGGGCCCAGAGACTTAGGGAAAGGGGTTTCACCCTAGTGACAAATGGGAAGCCTGCCACAGGGCTGTAAGAGAGGTTGAGAAGGCCAAGCAGGAGGCTGCAGCAGGTGAGAGAACTGGGATGCTGCAGAGTGGAGCAACAGGGGTGGAACTGTGAGCGGGCTCAGGCTGGGACACATGCTCACCTGCTACCTGACTGGCAGAAAGGGGAGCAGGCTGAGAGCAAGAGGCCTAGCAGACCAGCAAGTCTGGATGCTGGCTGCAGCAAGGACCTCAGGAGTAAAGGCTTGGGTGTCCCTCCCTCTGACTCAGGACTCTTCTCTGGGCTGTCAACTTCTCACGCACTCCATACCTGCCGACCCAATAGCTGTGGAAGCGGGGCCAGCGATGAGCACAGGTGACTCTGAGTCAACATCACATTCCTTGGCACTGCGGGGCCCCAGTGGTCTCCACAAGCCCTCTGCCCCATTCACAAGCCGATCCCCAGGCCGAGCACTCACTAGGGGCGCAAGACACACTGACCAACATCACCCATCACCCTTCTGCTGCGGAAGCCAAAGTGAGGGGAGAAAGCAAAGCTGGAGCGACTGCAGTGACTGTCCTCTCACTTGCACTAACTCCGCTCTCAGCAGGGCTGTGCATGCTGTCCTTTCATCCTCACCACGGCCCCCATCCACAGATACAGCGGCCAAGGCACTATGGGGCAATTAGCTTCCCCAAAGCCACACAGCTGATCTGAACCCGGGCCGCTGAGGTCCAGCATGTACGTTCTTAACCACAATGGCACGTGCTGATCCCATCTTCCTATGCACCAATAGGGTGACCATTTGACACATTAAGTACGGGGACAGCGGGCTCTCTCTTTTGTCTTTTTTTTTTTTTTTTTTTTGAGACAGGGTCTGTTCTTTGCTTTTTATTTTTTAGGGTTTTGTTTTGAGGCTGACCTCCAACTTACTCTGTATCCCAGTCTGGCCTTAAGCTAGCAGCCATTCTCCCACCTTAGCCTCCTGAGTTCTGGGATGGCAGGAGCATACCACCATGCTCAGCTGCACGGGGCTCTTAGGAATAACTGGGAGAACCTTAAAGATGTTTCCTCCCACCAGGTCACCACAGAGACTCACCAGACCCCATCTTTCATATCTCAACAGACAACACTGCACACAAAAGCCATCCTGCGGTGGTTTACTACGCATAGCAGCCAAAAGGTGGAAACGACCCAGATGCCCATCAGCTGATGACTCCACACACAAAACGTGGTGCATCTACACAAGGACCTTCTGCCGTGGAAGGAAATAAAGGACTAACACACTCTCCAACTCGGATGAGCCTGAAAAACGCTGTTAGTAAAAGAAGCCAGGTACAAAAGGCCTTGTGTCCCTCCATTAATATGAAATGTGCACAGTAGGCAAATCCGCAGGAGCAGAAGGCAGATTAGTAGATGGAGGAGCCCGCAAGGCACAGCGGCTGCTACTGAGTAGTACACAGGATTGTTTTCCATGGTAAAAAACGTTCTGACACTCGTGGTAAGGGTTGGACAAAACCGTCTACGCTTTAGGTAAGTATACAAGGGTCAATGAACTGCACACTTCAAAGAGGCAAATTTTATGGTATGTGAATTATACATAAATAGTGTTTTTGTTTTATTTTATTTTTTTGAAATGAGTCTCATTACATAGTTCCAGCCTTGTATTACACTATGGAGCCCAGGGTGGCCTCAAACTTGTGGTGATCCTCTTGCCTTAGCCTCCAGGGTGCTAGGATGGCAGGAGTGTACCACCACCACACCTGGCTAACATTGTTAATTTTAAAAAGAATGATTTGTTTTGAACTTGGCTATTTAATAAAAGTTTAATATGTCATCACTATGGTTGTTGGATCAAGATCAAACAAACAGAAAGTAATCTCCCTTCATTTTTCACTTTTTACTTTTCATTTTGCAAAGAAAGTAAGTTTCACTTTTTGGTAGCCCTGAATATGCTACATGGGCATTTTGCCATTTCCCTACAGAGATGGAAGCTTTTCTTGTCCAAGACTAAGAGTTCAGGCGAAAAAGTTCTCTTAAGGAAATGTTTGTATGTTTGTTTATTTTGGGGTTTTTTTTTGCCATGCAGTTCAGGCTGGCCTTGAACTCTCTATGTAGCCCCGGCTAGCCTCAAACTCATGGGGATCCTCCTGCCGCAGCCTCCTCAGTGCTGGGATTACAGGCATGTACCACTATACCCAGCTAGCATTTTCTTTAAACCAAAGCACCTTTCTCTCTAAAAGGACACAGTTTTCTCTCACAGCCAGGAGCTCCAAGGGCTTCTCTGCCAAAGCACACAGCTGAACAATTTTTCTTTTCAACAAGCAAGGTAATAAAAACGCTTATGAATTATGGCACTATTTTAATATCTTAAGAATGAATGAGACAACAAGTACTGGGGTGAGGATCTGGGAAGCAGCCTTTTTAAATGTTAACTTGCTCTAATAATAAGAGTAATCTTAATAATTACTATTTATTCAGCAACCATAATGGTTACATAAACACTCTCCTGGGTTCTTCACCAGCCGGCATTTCATTTTGTCTTGAAAGTAACTCTGAGGAAAGCACCCTTACTCCTCACGCCATAGATGAGGAAACTGAGGCCTAGAGAGACGAGGCCAGGTATCTGTCCTTGGTCACGCAGCCCAAATAAGTCTTTCCAGACTCAGAACTTCTCTCTTACCCATCTACTATCTTCAAAATGAAAAAGAAGGCCAAGGACTTGAAGAAACTGGAAAGACCCTTTTTCCTATCTCTCAAAAGCAGTGCTGTATTTCTTCTATTGCTCTTATCGTCCAGTAGAAGAAATATAGAAAACCAAACACAGAAAATACAACCAGCAGCTAAAAGGCACAGGTGAAGCCGGGAGTGGTGGCGCACACCTGCAATCCCAGCACTCTCAGAGGCTGAGGCAGGCTGGACTACACTGCCAGACTCTGTCTCAATTAGAAAACAGAAGAGGAAGAGAGAAAGGAAGGAGGAAGGGAGGGAGAGAGGCAGGCACAGATGACCAGGCCATGCCCCGCATGTCCTCTATGGCTTCCGGGCAGGCGCGAATGCCGCTGAGCTATCTCTACAGCTTCCTGACAGAATGCTTTCCCCGTTGATTCTGATTATGATCTTAGGATGTCAAAACTTCATGATCTCTCTATGGAAAACCCCAGAGACAGCAGTTAGCCCAACTGTATGGCTCTAGACCAGGAAGGAAAAGGAATCAGATGGCAGGAAGTGTGGTGTGGAATATTTATCTGAAAACATGGAACATCTTTAGCATTTATATCAACACTAATTCCACAGCACTTTTATCTGAGCTATCTTTGTGGTCCCTTTTTAAGTTCTTACTTTAAATTTTATTTTATTTCAAGTTCTATGGGGTCTCACTATGTAGCTCAGGCTGAGCTGGAACTCATTATTAGCCCAGGCTGGCCTCAAACTTGCCGTGATCCTCCTGCCTCAGCCTCGCAAGTGCTGGAATTACAGATGCGTACCTAGCAGCTACCCCTTTGATTTTAATGTTTTACTGAAAGCTGATTCCCATTCTATTCTGTATGCGTCTTACAGAATCTCAGATAAAACACGGCTTACATAGGTTTTGTTTCTCTTTCACAAAAAATGGAGGGCGGACAAAAGATTATCTCAGAAGGAAAAGACCTAAATCAAGGAGGACAGTGGCCCGCGTGGACATAACCAAACATGAATTCTACTGCGACCCCACAGTCTGAGGGCCAACCCAGGCCGCTTCCCCGCTGCGGTCACCCAGAAATCTGAAATTCATAACAAACACAATCCTCTTACTTCTCAAGACTCTGCCTAAAACAAATTGCAACTGTAACGACAGCCACCAAGAGTGGCAACCTAGGCTAAGAAGGGGACAGAAGCAAAAGCCCTGCTCTCCAACTGAAGGAGGAAAGAATTCGGTGCATCGGCACAAGAACAGCCAGGGAGGAAAAGCTTAGTTTGGGTGGCCGAATCCACAGAAAATGTTCAAGGATTCCGCGGTTATCCTGTAAGAATCCTAATGGGAAAGGCCAACTCGAGATAAAAGTACGAGCAGGCTGGACAACTAACTGCTCTCTTCTCCGGCTCACAACCCCGCGGGCAACCCCGGAGCCGCCACCACACCCCCCAGGAGCCCACACCGAGATTCCTGCGTGCCGACCCGGGGCGCCAGGCAACCACCTCTGCGGGGTGGGGGCCCCCAGGACCAGCGCTGTCTAAACTGGGGGGCAGGTCTGGGGCGGGCCCCCCGAGGCCGGGACGGGCACGGGCTCCTCGCCACACCCCACGGCCCGGGACGCCTGGTCTCCACTCACCTCCCCGCGTGGTCCCCTCCCGGGACCTCCGCGCCCCGACCCGGTCTGCACCCACACCCAGCCGTCCTCCTCCTCTGTGCCTGACAGCTGCCCAGCCGCCACCAGGCAGCCCAACTCCCGCAGCCCGCGTCCTCCCAAGCCAGTCTTCCAGCCTCGGCGGCGCCCCAGGCCCGCGGTAATTAGGAATCAGAACCCGTGAAGGTTCGGTCCAAACCCCTCTCCCTTTCGGCGCCCTGAGCTCACCTCCCCGGCAGCTTGGCGCTTCTCTTCCAAAACTGCTTGCTGTTCTCGGCGGCCATGGCTCTGGCCCGGGGAAGGCCTGGTAGTCGGGCCCGGGGGGCGCCCGGCCAGAGGCCCCCGCGACCCCACAGTCTGAGGGCCAACCCAGGCCGCTTCCCCGCCGCCGGTCACCCGCTCCTAGTTCCTGGGGCCGCCATCTTGGATGTGGGCACCCCCCCACCCAGAGCCGCTGCTATTGGTGGGCTCCTCAGGCCGGGGACGGGAGGACCAATCAGAAGCCGGAATCCTGCAGGCCGCTGAAGCCCAACGGTAACGTAAGGGTCGGGCGCACAGGTGGACCGGGAAGGCGGAGCTTGGATGGCCCGGAGGCGGGGCTGAAAGTTCCTTGTGCCGAGGGGGAAAGACAGGTAAAGAAGGGGCTTAAGGGGAGAAGGGACGGAGACTGTGTTCTTGGAGGCACCTGAGGGTTCTGACTGGAATATCTTTTGGAAAGAGACCGGGTGGCCCATTTTTAACATCTCACCGTTAAAATGACACTCTGGTTAATCATCCTCCCCATCCTCTCCAATAAGATCCCAGTTTTAGATTTGTCCTGTGGAGGAAGATCGGTTGGGCTCCCATAGACCAGAGTTGGTTAACTGTCCAATACCTAACGGTTGGGTGGTCGGATTCTCCCTCTCCTTGGACTGGGGTGTGATAAGAACGAAAAATCTGTGCTGAGTGAAATTCCGACAATGGAAAAAAAAAAAAAAAAATTCCGTTTCTGTCTACTACCTTCTGACAATGAGCACCCGGATCCTGAAAAAGTGTTTAGAAAATGTTCTTATTTTTTCCAACCAATTCAGATTTTCGAGTATCATTTCTTTGCTTTTTAAAATTTATTTATTTATTTATTTATTTGAGACAGGGTCTCTTTGTGTAGGGTTTTGTTTTGTTTTGGGTTTTTTTGTGGCGGAACCAGGGATTGAACTGAGGCCCAGGCAAGCGCTTATTCTACTGAGCTATCTCCCCCAGCTGCTGTCTGTGTGGTTTAGGCTGGCTTCGAACTTGTGGTGATCCCTCTACTACTCTCCTGGAGTACCATGACCTGCTGTATTTTTTTCTTTAATTTTTCTTTTCAAGAACATAGAATCTGGGGCCGAGAAGATGGCTCAGTGGAATAAGTGCTTCCCTGGCAAGCGCAAGGGTCTGAGTTCAATCCCCGGTTCCGCCAAAAAAAAAAAAAAAAGAACATAGAATCTGTGGCATAAACCACAAAAATTAAGGATGTGCCCCTCCTCTGTATCCTTCATTTCCCTTGCTCCATCCTCTATGATAAACCTTTCACCTTTGAATTTACTTCTAACCTAATTCTAACCTGGAAGGAGATCTGATACTGGCCTTTTGGATCCACTGACGTCTTGTCAGTGAGTTGTGGTGTCTGTGGTCCTATTCCGTGATGATCCGGCAGAGAGGGACAGGGTTTGATGGTGGAAACTTGTTTCTATCCCAACAAAGGACAGGAGAGGTAGCCGGCAGATCGGTCCCACCCCTTACTAGTTTGCTGCTATCCCTTGATCTTCTTACATGTTAGGGAATGTTTCCTGGTGTCCTGCCTACAGAAGGATTCTTGGGTAGGGGCTATAGGACCTGAGTTCAATTCCAGGTGCTAAAATAAATAAATAAAAATAAAAAAGGGTTCTTTTATGTGTCCTCCAATCTGGCATCTTTCTTTTTTAAAAAAATTTTTTTTTAATTTTATTTATGTATGTGTGTGGCCAGCTCAGCCCACCAGGGGGCGGGGCTGGCTGGCATGTGGTGCTGGGGATTGAACCGC